TCTATTTACTTCTTTCGTTGTTGTTCTTTTCGAGTTTCATTTTCTGAAATCAAATTCCTCCTGCTCCTCTCTGTTTCCATTGAAGGAGTTTCAGAGATTAAAATTTTATTGTGGTGAGACAAAGAATTTATTGAAGGAGTTTCAGAGCTCGAAGTTTTGTTGCGAGAAGACTCGGACTCTATCCAAGGAGTTTCAAAGTTCGGGTTCAACTCAAATTTGAAAAATCTTACTTAAAATAATTGAGTGAAATTACACCGTTGAAAAAGCTTGTAGTAACTTGAATCTAGAATGTTGGATTATTTAAGTTTGATAAATGTTGATCTTGGGAATCATACCAGTTGAAAATGAAGTTATGATAACAATAGATCACTGAATTTTACATCATAATCGTGTTTTACTTCAAAAAGATTTTCTTGGTAGATAAGGTTTCTTTGTGGAAAAGACTCTATCATAACTATCTTTTTTCTTGAAGGAGAAGATTTAGACTTCTATAAATTGAAAATCTTTATACACAACACAATAGCATCCACAATGTACCTTTAAAGAATTTTATTTATAGGGAGATTTAAGGGTTGTTTGGTTTAGCTTATAAGTCAGATCAAACCAAATATAAGCATTTTTAATTTTTGTAGTATTTGAAGATGAATTTTCAACCATATTTTCAACATTCCTATTGCTGCATCTTTAAAATAAAAAAATAAAATAAAAATTTAAACTATTGTTAACTCAAGGCATTTTTAACTTTATTTTTTAACCACTCCAAGCAACAAAGTGATGAAGATTGTGTGAATAACAAAATATGAAGATTATTTTACCAGAAAATTCAAAGCCAATGAGATTTGTTAAGGTTTGCCCATAAATTTTGTATCCATTTCTGATTCTATATCATAATTGTGTTTTACTTCAAAAGGTTTTCTTGGTAGATAAGGTTTCTTTGTGAAAAGGACTCTACCATAGCTATCTTTTTTCTTGAAGGGAGCACATTTAGACTGTAACAAGATCTTTTTTCTCATACACAACACACATCCACAATGTATTTTTTAAAGAATTAAAAAAGAAGAAGACTTGAACTGTTGTAATAGATGAGTAAAAATATTTTTATTTTTTTAGTATTATATGTAGGTCAATTAACCAAACACATATCATAAAGTCTTTTTTCATAGTTTTATTTGTCATCTAATTTATCGCCGATAAGGTTTTGCAATTATTGGCTTCCGTATGACGCCCTGCTATTTCGGTGTCAACAAGTACTACACACATTGTGTTGTATATGCAAAATCATAAGAATAAAACATCGAATTGATACACGTGATTATTTGCATCAAGCTTACAAGATAGACAAACTAGCTTATTATACAAATACTTTTTGACTTGTACATTTGATAAACATCAAAAGTATTTTTTATAAGCCAAATGTTAGCTGTCACCCCTCAATGTATGACCTTTTAACTTATAAATAATTTCAGTTTGATTAAGACTTATACGTTATCGTTCATTAAGGAATGTTTAGACCTAGAGGATGGCTCGTGCTCTCTCGCATAAAAGCGATCGAATTTGAATACGACACATTTTATCGAAAGAATACTATTTTATCTTTAATTGTTTTTTTTTCGAAAGTACTTACCCAAAACAAAACCCCTAACCTCTCTTTGTTCATATTGATCGTTTCTTTGGCACCATCTCATCCTAATAGAGTGAGATACACTCTTTTTGCTATGCACTTTTATCCACATGTCATTTTTAAAAATATTTTTTAATTTTTAAAGTTTATTAATTTTTTAGATAGAAGGGGAACCTTGGAGCAACTGGTAAAGTTGTTGTCATGTGACCAGGTGGTCATTAAAAGTTCAAACCGTGAAACAACTCTTGCGTAAATGCAAGGTAAGACCGTTGTTACAACCCCCGTAAATTCTTGACATGTGACACAATTCACATGTTGGTTAAGAGTTTTAGAATGCCATACATGCTAGGAAAAGGCTCCGGGGAAAGATCGACAAGCGCCAAGTCGGCATGTCGCATTCCAGGAATGCTAATTTATAAATCGTATTCCATGAATGCCACTTATAAGTCGCATTGCCCTTAACTATATAGGGGCCTCCCACTTCGGTTTATTTCATTATCATTTCATAATTTCCAGAGCACGGAGGGAAACAGGGAGAACGAGGTTTCTTGTTAATTCTATCTGATTACGCCCGTCAAACACGATCCAAACTTGAATTAATCTCATATACCGATGTATTTAGCAGCAAGGAGCATTCCTCGGGTTTAGTTTCGTGAAATTGCCGAGAATCGTCAAGCACGAGCCAAGGTAAGTGGAATTGCTCCAAATTAGTGTCAATATACTCATAGCCCTAAGGTGAAAGATATTTCTCCCTTCTGGACTTTCGAGAAATAGCGTAAGTTTTCGATCATTTTGATAAGTCAAAGTTTGGGCTATATATATATCGAAAGTGATGTTTTCTTCCTAAAATTAGTGTATTTAGTTCTAATTGATATATATATATGAATGCAATGGGAGAAATAGCAAAAATACTGGCCGAACGACGCCGTTAGTCGGAAACTTCAAGCGAAGGTATGTAAAGTTAATTCCTTCAGTTAATAATCCAAATATTTCAAGAAATAGCGTGAAATATAGAAGAAAGAATTCGTAAGCCGAAGAATTGAGTCCAAGTATGAGTTTAGCAAGCGCGTTTTTGAATTTAGCAAGCATGTTTATAATATTATGATATACGTTCTAATAAAATTAGTAAAGCACATCGTACGCCGTATAATATCCCGTATACGTATAGTCGCACGCCGATAATATCTCGCATAGCGTATAGCCGTACGGGCCGATGATATCCTGTATACAAGATAATTCGCATGGAGAATCAAGATAACATAGAAAAGAGTTCGAATGAGAAATCGGAATAATGTATAGTATTTTCGCTCAAACATGCTTGCTATATGTGATTATTGATTGTTGAAACTTGTTTGTGTTATGAGGGTACCTTGAGCGTCCTCGCCGCCCGGGTTGGTAACTGTGTCGACCTTCTGCTGAGGGTGGGGATAGCGCCACTCCAAGGAGTAGCACATGCCGTCCGCAAGAGGGACTTGGCGATGGGATGTAGCATTTCATATCAGCCGACGTATTACAGCAAAGATAGTTTACCCGTTGTGCGCTTGCGCCAAGGAATAGATTACAGATACGTATTACGCTACATAGCTACGCTTTACAAGACAGAGTCCTCCTGCTTGTAGGGACAGGCTATATATATCGGAGGCCATAGCCCGAGCCGGAGACCGTGTTTGAGGTGCTCGTAGTTAGTAGACGAGTGGAGTGATTTATTTTTGATGGTTTTGACCCTAGTAGGGGTATATAGATTGTTTGTTATTGGCACCTTCCGTGCATGGGGCCGATAGGTTCTTGTATGCTATATATGTGTATATATATTACTTATTAAATTGATAGATAGCATGATGTCAAGCAATGGATGTGCATGCTCCTCGCCTTATTCTCGCACAGAGCTCGTTTCGCATTCTAATGGGCTCGCATACCCCCAGACATTTTCACTGCTCAGAGTTTCTAGTTATGTTGTTTATATTCGTATGATTAGTGTGACCTCGTAGTTAGATGATGTTATAACACAGTGGCTATAGTGGCCCAAGCCGGTCGGAGGCTGACATAAATGCTGAGAGCAGCCCGATTCCATGAATCCGGGAAGTTAGAGCCGCCCGTGCACCCGATGTGTTTAGGCTCGCAGTTTCCAGTGCTTGCCCCAGTCCTAATAGGCACTGTGTGCCGGGCCATACCCCTGCCAAGTGTATGACAACCGTGTATAATAAACCCTTGTGGTATGACTCTTTCTCGGATCCCGCGCATAGCGGGAACTTTAGTACACCGAAGCCGAATTTTTTTTTATTATCAATTTTTTAGATTTAACTTTTCACTGAAAATAAAACTTTGCATAATTCCAATTTTTAAGCAAACAAAAGAAATTGTTTTGTTAAAATAATGAATTATAATTAACTTTTTTCTTTTATAGATTTTGCGCGGACAAAAATCTGGCTGAAATAGATAGTCATTATATCTAAGTAAAATATAATAAAAATTATATAGTTGAAGCTTCATTATTCTGCTAAAACTTTTTATTTCATTAAAAATAACAAAGCTCTAACCGAGTTTTCTCTTGTTCTAGATTTGACCTAAAAGAAAATAAATAGTTATTGCATTTTAACAAGAAATAAAAAATTACACAATTACAACTCCATTATCGGGGTTAAATTATTTTATGTAGAATAAAAATGAAGAAACCCCAAAAGATTTTAATTGCTTTAGGTTTGAAAAGAGAATACAAAATTGAAATAAATACCATTTCATCTAAAAGAAATACAAAGTTGAAACTTAATTATTTTTTTAAAAATTAATTTATGATTTTTTTAATATTTTTAATTTTTGAAAATTTTAATTTATAGTGTTTTTTTTTATTTTTTTAGTTTATTAAAAAATAATTAAGAGTTAATTTTTAATTATTTTTTTGTGACCCTCACATGCTTAAAAGAAAGTGTAGCCGCTCTCTTTGCCGCATCGCACTTAGAGGGTTAAAGACTATCTAATAGACAAGCTTATAAGGGTAATTAAGACTACTAATTGTTTAAGAGATTTTGAAAAAAACATGTCAAGTATAAGATGGTCTTTACGTATTTTGTCTCTTTTTTTTTTTTGTAAAGATACTGTCAAACTATTATTTTTATTAAAAAACAAATTAAGAATATGTTGGTCATTTTAATAAAAGAACAACTTATTAGCATTTTTTTTATCAAACATCTTTAATATTGAGGATCTGTTTTATTTTTATCTAAACATATAACTATTTATTTCAGCACTTAAAACTTATCAATTTTTTACGGGAAGGTTCATAAATACTTTTTATTAACTAACAAGAATAATTAGCCAATTCATCAGAAAAAAAGAAAGTGTATATGTTAGATAATTAAAGTATCTCATACTTAACATCTGCGGATCCGTGGCGCATCGGTAGCGCGTCTGGACTCCAGATCAGAAGGTTGCGTGTCTGATTCACGTCGGGTTCAATCTCCGATCTAATGGGTCCTTTCACTTTTTTATAAGTTCATAAAATTCCTTTCTGTTTTTGATATTTTGCTCATAAAAATTTTGTTTTTCTCTCCACTTAAATTGGCAATTGTCTATACTTCATTAACAGTTAATTGTCTTTTTCTGATCAAATGCATGGTTCCAAAAAGTGTTATCGGGTTATCGAATTAACGGCTTAAAAGTATAGAAAAAATTTAAAAAGAGGTAATTACTTTTTCTATTAATTAGGGACCACAAATACTATCAAAATTGATCTATGTTTTACCTACTTACTTGATCTGACTCATTTTTTTACAATGCTCCTTCTTCCTTTTCTTCTATTTACTTCTTTCGTTGTTGTTCTTTTCGAAGCTTCATTTTCTCAAATCAAATTCCTCCCGTACAAATTGCTTCCATTGAAGGAGTTTCAGAGATTAAAATTTTATTGTGGTGAGACAAAGAATTTATTGAAGGAGTTTCAGAGCTCGAAGTTTTGTTGCGAAGACTGACTTATCCAAGGCTGCCAAGTTCAACTCAAATTTGAAAAATCTTACCTAAAATAATTGAGTGAAATACAATCGTTGAAAAAGTCAGAAAATCAATCTAGAATGTTGGATTATTTAAGTTTGATAAACGTTGATCTTGGAATCATACCGCTGAAAAATGAAGTTAAAGATAAAATTCGGCCAGATACAAAATTATAATAAGTGTAAATATTGTATACTAAGTGTAACAACCATTATTACACAACATTTTTTTTTCTTCTATTTTTCCTTTTCTTATTTTTCCGATATATATTATTATACATTTCATATACAAATTTATACATCATTATACATGTGTATAGGGGAAATATTATTTCAAACACGTGGCAGGATGCATACAACGTCACTTGTCATCAAAATAACAGGATGAAGGCATGGCGAATCAACTAAGGAGAAAGTAAATAAAGTCTCAACGACAAAGGTCAATAATTAATTTTAGGATACCAAAAAGAGGTAATTGAGTATAATGGTGAAAAAATAACAAGATTAGGACAGTAACTCCGGGTCCGATGTCAACAACTTGAACTCGAACATGAACCGATAAGGGATGCCCGCAATGGTCTAGTACAAATCATGATTACAACAACTACAAGCATGGTATGACATTACTTCTCTATATATTCTAGTTGATTTCCTTTTAATATTAGTATACCAAACAATTAACCTTTTTTGTTCTTCACAGATCACAAGAAACAAAGAATTGCTTACCTCTTTCTCTCACTGCGAGGAGTACATTCAAATTTGGATCTCTTTTCATTCTAATTAATGAAAAAGGGTGCCAATTGCCGCTTTCTTTCTAATCTCAACAGGATGTTAGTACAATTTTGATTCATAATTTGATATTAGAATGTACTCTAATAATTATTTTTTCATCTTTCTAATACAAGGACACACATTCTTTATTGAGGCAAAAATATTCCTTCCAGATGACCTCAAGTCTTTCCATATCTTATCGTCCCCAAACCGCGGACAAGAAGTGCGCAGTCCAAATAGAAGAAAATTCATTATATAAACTGTAATCAACAAAAAATATGTTAATTCCAAGTACTTTTGGATTTTGTTTGTATTCATATCTTTACACCAAATAGTATAATTTCACATAATACTATAGGTGTCGATTTGATGTTTAATGTTGAAGATACCTTCGACTCAACAGTTGGGATAATTATGGGCAAAGAAGGAGAAAAACTATTATCCCTTACCACAAAAGAATTTACGAAAAGAGCTTCAGCAAAGATGCAAACTTTAACGGAATAATTTATACATGATCACATCAAAAATAAACTAGCAAAAAAAGGTGACTAACTATATGCTTTTTCTTTAGAATGAGCATCCACCAGTTCAAGATATTCAGAAGAACTTTAACCAGTAATTGTTCAAAATTCCCGTAAAATTGTATATCCTATCATGTGTTTAAAAGCAAAATATTATTTATTGTCTTCTTCCACCAATTACAATCAATATCAGCGAAGGAAGCAAAAGGGAAAAGGAAACTTTCAACTTCTCATGCTAAAGAAACACAAACTTCACACCAGCCGAAAAAGGTCAATCACTCAAGATGAAACAGAAACTGAAGCCATCAATCCAGTGAAAAAGAAATAAAGGTCACCAATACATTTCTCCTTCTGCATTTTTATATAAATATGTATCATAACTTTTTTTAATAATACTTTTCAATATATTGCATGATCTTTCACTGTGTTCTCTTGACAAAATTACAGGGGTTATTCAACCCTTTTGCAACTACTTGGCTATAATGGCATAAATGTAATTGTGATCAACTCATCACATTTTCCTTGATAAAGCTAAAGTAAACTTCATCAACTCACAATTAGTTATTGTATTATAGCACATTAGTTTCTATTGCTACGATTAACTTGATGACTTAGTAGCTATAATTGAGGATGTCTGATCGCTTGATATCTTCTTCTCATCAATTCTTTTGTTCATTTTTTATATCAAAGTCGTGATTAGTTTTAACTAAATTCAGTATATCGTTAGGTTCTGATAATGAAGTGTGATGCTTTCAGCTCTTCCTATTCAGTTGGTTATTTCCATTTTCTTCTGACTTTTTACGTCTATGTTAAAGGCTTCTTCCTTGGGAAATATTAATTAGATTATTATGAAATTATCGTTTTCAAAGTGCATTACAAAGATTGTATTGACCTTATTTATTTTGAACACTAGAACAGCTTTTCTCCTAAGTCCAAATTTAAGTTCCTATACCTCCACATGATGTTTCCTATATGTGAATAAAATGATAAACTATGGGTGGAAAGAGTCTCCTTATATGTTTCGTTTGTTCACTGGTTCAAGCACTTATTTCATTTGTTGTCGCTCCCATTGATCCAATTTTCATGCTCACCTCATATGGTCCATTGTTCCTCTAAGTGAGATATCAGTATGAAAAGTTAAGAGTTATTCATGGATAAAAATTTATTCTTGAAAAGCTAACAACTGCAATTCCTGTAATAGCTACCCAAAGACGAAATATACCAACTTAGAAAGTGTTTACCGTTATAAACTAATACATGCATAGTTAAGCTCTCCCAACAACAATGGAAATATTCATGTTTGTAATACACCTTTACCCCTAAGCCTACTGATTCAATTCCTAGCAAGTCTTGTTGTTACACCCTCGGATTTGAGCACAAAATCGTGTTTGCACCAAGAGTACATTATAGGCTAAGAAGGAAGTATTATGAGTTAGTTGAATCACTCTATGATCATATTAAGATTGACATCGATCAAGTTGTAGAACAAAGTTCGAAAAAGCACGCAAAATTTCCTTCTTGAGATGCCTTGAAATTTAGGTCAAATGTCTCGAAAAGCTTTTCTCCCAATCTATAAGGAGTTAGGGGGTGTGAGATCTATCAAATTAAATATCTATGAGTCTAGTTTCCAGTGCATCAAACCTTTTGTCAACCCAACCCGGAATAGAGAGTTATTCGTGTTTTCACAGACCGCGCAAAGGTGCACCTCACAGGGTCTAAGCCGGTGGAGGACTATAAAAGGCCATTGGTCGGTTGCCTTATTTTCTTAAATTCCAGAACTTCTATGTCCAAAACCTCTCTCAAAGTTCTTCCATGGTTTCCTTTGGGTTTTGGGCTAGAATTCATGCTCAACATGATTTTGATGTCTAAAGCCTGAGCTTGTGTAGTCCGTGGTTTGGTGTTTTTTCTGTGGACGTTGGTGTTGCTTCATAGTGAAGCTGTTGGTAAGACTTATTTTTGTTCTCTTAGTTTTTAAGGTTGTTTATAGCTGTGTTAACAATGTAGGTTATGTCTCGGAGTTTCTACCGACGAATTCCGATGAATCTTGTCGGGTAAGCTTCGTTGGTCTTATCTTGTTGTTGAGTTGTGTTTACTGTGATTTGGGCAGAAGTTTGGACTGCCTTTAGGTAGTAGGTTCATGGTGTTGAAGGATCAAGTTCGGCTAGGCTTAAAGCTAAGGTATGTTAGGCTTGTCCCTCCCTTTGTCAAGATGCACTTCTAAATTCGTTGTCATCCGTGTTGATACGTGTGTTGGCCGTTTGTGATGACTTGTGTTTTGCTGCTTTGAACTCTTGTTCCCTTGCTATTTATATGGTGATAATGGTGTTTTTATGTGCTGATTTGGTCGGTGGCTCTGGCTTGAGTGCGGAGAATCGTAGACATGAAAATTATTAAAGCCTGGGCCGAGAGGCCGTATACGAGGCGTGTGGTTCTTGTAGCAAGTTGTGGGCCGTTGAGTGAATAAGATTAGGTGATTATGTTGACAAGTGAATGAGGGTTTAGAGTGGTTAAAGTTGATGGTTGCGACTATCTGCTGTTATATTTGGATTCGGCGGTCGTGTCAATCAGTGGTCGATGGCACATGACGACCGTGGTGACACTTGGGCTAGTTTGGACGTGAACCCTGATGTTAGTGGTGAATAGAGTGTCATGTGAGCCGTTTGTAAAGCTTGAGGATCTACTGCTAGGATGGTGGTCCTTAGCTTGGTTAAGGGCTCGTCGGTGGGACGGCTAGACGTGAAAGAATAGTATTATGTTGTAATAGTTGGGCTGTGGGTTCAGAGCCGATCGCTGGCCATTCGGCATGCATTATTGTTTTGAATTGTGTGTGTGTTACATTTGAGGCCTTTTGGCTTGTGTATACCCGATGCACAAGAATTGTTCCTGCTAGAATCGAGCCCGAGGTGCTCTAGACTTGGTGTGATGCTCGACGCACGAGAAAGTGTTTCCACGAGAGGTTAAACCCAAGGAGGAAATGACCACGGATTGAGAATGATGTCCTCCATAGTATCGAGTTGAGACATGATTCAAGAGTTGTCCGACATGTCTGATCCTTCTTGGAATTGCGATTGGTTCTCCCAGATTGATTGAGCTCCTCTCGCCCGGAGACTCCTACAATTGTGCCACAGTACGACAGGCTCCTGATTAACCATTGCAATGTGGGGCTTTTCCAGATTCACA